GTATTCGGTGGCTCGCAAGTACGGCAAAAAACAGCAAGTTGTTGGCCTATGCAGGCCTATACTGGCCGCAATGTATGCAAAACAACAACACTATTTTCTCTACCTCGGCCAGCATAGTTATGCTGGCCAACCACATCGTCCAGTAAAAAAAAAAGTGTTACCAACGCAATAAGCGAACTATTGTGAACCTTCATTGAAAATTCCAACGAATAGTGCAATCAAATGTCAAAAATTGAGGAAATAAAAATTCAAACAGATTTCAAAAATTTGAAAAATCTTGAAAAGTAACGAAGAAATAATAAGAATGGAGAAATCATAAGTATTAAGCACATTGAATTTTTTATTATGTTAGTTATTACCAAGTAACATTTATTTTATTTCATTTAATTTGTAGTTTACATATGTAAAATTAATAAACAAACATAATTTTTGAAGTTTTTCTAAAAAATTTTTTATAGAAATACACCCAAACTATGGACCACAAAGGAAACGAAGTGTTTTCTAGAGTGCTACTTGACACGAAAGGAAGACAATCTTCAGAGGAGGTTGTTGCGGCATTCATAACATTTAAAAAGTCCGTGAAACAACTTGCATCCCTCGGCCACTGCAAAACGTTGCTTCCTTCTCCCAACATCGACAGTACCTACAAAAATTTACTTATCTTAGTGTTTTATTTTTAAATTTCCAATATTCTTACCATTCCTTTTAATTCCGTGTTCATTTTAATTTTATAATATTTTTATAAAAATATATTTGATTTATATGCACAATACAAGATTTGCTGTTTGTCAAAACAAAACATTTGACAGATTGCAACAGTGATGCCAATGACTCGCGTCATTAGCATCAACATGGCCAACATAGGCCAACATGCATTTTTTGCCGTACTTGCGAGCCACCGAAAAGGCCTAATATTAACCGGTCAAATTGATTTCTTTCTCCTTTTTGTTTTCTTTTAACCGATATTTGTCAAGTAAATTAGAATAACGAGCACTGAAACTCTCTGCGTCTTTTTTACCACCTGGTTTTCACCACCTGGTTATAATTTAATATGATGTGTATTACTTCAGCTAGTACTCTTTTTGGTAGTTGTTTTCAATTTCAAGAATTGAAACTTCTTCGAAATTGAAAGTATGTCTAGCTGAATGATGATGTTCAGATAGGGCGGTTTTTTTATAATCATCAGCGCGTCTGCATGTACTTTTATGTTCACTTAACCTTTTTGATCATTTTCGTTTGATTTGATAAATTTCTTTTTTTTCTTGATCTTTCAGCTTAGAGAAAAAGACATTGGTTGTTTTTAAATTATATAATACAACGTCAATTATTTGTTCTTCTCTGAACAGTTTCGATATTTTTTGAGATAATCCAGGAATGTTTGGAAAAGTGCACCTTTTTTTAATATTATTTGAATTGCTCACTGTTGTGTTTTTAACTAATTGTGTATGTTTATTTGAAAATAATATTTTGTTAATGAAATATTTGGGGTAGTTATTATTTTTTAGTATTTTTTTAATTTGTTTAATATTATCTTCCATAAATATTTCATCACTCAAAGCTTTGACTCTGCTTATAAAGTTTCTAACAGTGTTGATTTTCAGTAAAAAATTCAATAATCTACCTGAAGATGTCGGTTTTTTATACCAGTTGGTGATAATATTGTTCTCAGTTCTCATTACCATTATATCTAAGAAAGAAATTTTTTATTGCTCTTCAATTTCATATGTGAATTGAATGTGCGGGTTCACATTGTTGAAAGCTGTAACCGCATTTTTAACTTCGCCTTTGGGAATTGCAAATAACGTGTCATCAACATAATACATAGCTAGACATACTTTCAATTTCGAAGAAGTTTCAATTCTTGAAATTGAAAACAACTACCAAAAAGAGTACTAGCTGAAGTAATACACATCATATTAAATTATAACCAGGTGGTGAAAACCAGGTGGTAAAAAAGACGCAGAGAGTTTCAGTGCTCGTTATTCTAATTTACTTGACAAATATCGGTTAAAAGAAAACAAAAAGGAGAAAGAAATCAATTTGACCGGTTAATATTGATACAGAACCGTTTTAAGAGAAATAATAATAATGTATATTACATTTCTTGAATTTATAAAACAAAGACAACTATACAAGTTGTGCTAAAGTTCTTTGACATAACAAAATAGATTAACATATATTTTTCCATTTTCTTGTTTTTGTTTCTATGTTTATTATTGTCTGATCACTTAACATATGTGATGTTAAAAATAAAAATAATTATTGTTCGTATTATTTTTTTGAGTTCAATAGTGTCAGTTTTTATATATATGTTAATTTTTTGTATATATTATTTTAATTTTAAATTCATAAACCTTAAGTTAAGCTTTTTATTAAAAATTAAGGTATTATTTTAATTGTAATGTGTAACTTTAAAAAATTTTTTGTAATTATTTTTTGGATAATAATTACAGCACTGAGGATGTTCTAAAATAAAGAACGAAATATCTGCTTCAAATTTCCAAATAAAAGCGTTTTATTGTGGTTTGTCTGATAGTTGAAAAATTTTTAAATTAAAAAAGCATTCAGATATACAGAAAAAAGTTTTATTTGTAGTTTTTATTTTTATCACGGTTGCAAACGGATGAACGGATGCCTGATTATTATTCCAGTGAATACCTTGAACAGAGTTTTGAACAACAAAAGCATAAGTTTCGGAAAAATCACACAAAACTATGCATTCATTTTTTGTTAAGTTGCTTTTCTTATCATTTTAAAACTCTGCCTGTTTTTTAACGACAAAGGAATGCAACAGCTTTTTGTCTAAACCGTCTTTTAAGGATTGCAAATATTCGTCTATTGATGATGTCAAAGTTTTTAATGTGCTTCTCTCTTCACGAATCAATTGTTTGTATGGCATGATGGCATCAAATATCTCCAGAAGTTGTGCATTGATATTTTTAGTTCCAGGACATTTGGCGCAGGTTCCTAGAAAGCATTCTGTGCTTGAAGTGTTGCAAATCATGCGCTGTAGACAATCTTGATAGTTATTTATCGGCTTTCTACAGCATGCAGTCAGTGCTTTTGTATTCACTCCATCTATCATTAATCGTACGTTTTCGTGTATGGAGCACATACAAACAGAATATGTACTTGCTCCTGCAAGAATGCAATGTTGTGGTCGTAAAGATGCAAATTTAGAAAAACTACATTCGAGATCCGGCTGGTTGAGTTTGAAAAAAATATGCAACTCCTTCAAATTGCTTAGAATGACTGGGCTTCTGTGGGTTCATTTTCAACTTCAGCGGATTAAAACATTTTAAGTCATTCAGTTGCGTAGATGCATTTTATTTTTTCCAACGTTTGGCATTATCTAAATGTTCTTACTTATTTGTTCGCTTTCAAAACATAAATTGAGGACTTGTCAGACTTACTTAACAATTTATACCTAATTTGATTCCAGTATCTTTATAAGATAGAAGTACCTAAACTCTCCATATCGATTTATTTACAGTTCATTTCCTATAACACTTCTTACATATACAGAGTATTTTTCCAACCGTAACGAAGTAACACTTCACCGAAAAAGGTAGGTGTGATTATCTGCTGCAGTTATCTAGGTAATTCGGCTAATTAACTTTTTAATTCATCTATATAAGAAAAAAGTTTATTAAACGGTTTAATTATGTTAAAATTTATAATTTAGGAACAGGAATGATGCGGAACTAATTCAAAATGGTTACATTTTATATATAATTTTAATTTATTTTAAAAATAAAAAGTAAAAATGTTTGTATAGTTTTTCTTCGAAAATTGATTTAATGGTAATATGGTGCCTATGAGCAATGTGAAGGACACCTGATAAATTAATTTTTTTTAATTACTTCTAAAAGGAATATCACACTGGAAATATTTATTTTTTAAGTAGAATTTATATATATTAATTTGAATCAAAAGTAAAAAAATATTTGTGTGACATATTTCTTTTTTTTTTTTTAATGAAAAATCGTGTGTACATGTTTGGTGTGATATGAAGGATAAGTAAATTTTTAATAGTACTTCTAATGACAATATCGTCCAGAAATTTTTGAGATTTATATAGAATTTTATTACTAATTGAAATCAATAATATTATATAGAAATATTTGTAGTATATTCTTTGAAAATTTATTCAATGGAAATGTAGTACGCATGTGCTCGATGTGTTTTGCGGGAGAAAAAAATATTAAATATTAAAATTCAAAATATAACGGGTACTTGAAAATTTTTATTTCGTAGTAAAATTTAAAACTGAATCTAAATAAAATATAAAAAATGAAAATTCACAAAATAGTTTAGAAAAAAAATTTTTTTTGAAATTTAACGGTTAATATTAGTACTTAAATATAAACAATTTTAATTGTTTAAACAAATTTGTAAAAGTTCAATCAATTACTTAGAAACGCTGTAAATTTCAAGTTTCTACCTTTCATAGAACTTGAGATATAGCCATTTGAAAATGTGTCTACAATGCCAAATTTGCTAGGAAAAAAGTCACAATATTTTTCCTGAGATACGGGTCTTCTTATTTTATTTCAGCCAAATAGGAGATCATGAGGTCAAATCTCCAAATAGGAGATCAAAATCCGCGCACTAAATTTAGGTGAACATTTAAAAGGCTTTTCGGATGTACCTATTTGGAATGTATATTTATAAGGAAATTTTGAATTCGTAATAATTAGTTTATATATTAAAGTTTGAATTATGCATACAAATACAACACAAATATTTTAAATCATAAGTACAATTTAAAAGAATCAGTAATTTTTAGTTCTTATTAGTATTGCATTAGTAAATTTATTTTTGTATATTTAATCAGATTTAAAAATACCTATGTGTATTCAATGCTTGGACACCGACTTTTGATTTCAATGCAATTCGTTTATATAAATTTAAATATTCAAACATATGTATATTTACTGCAATATACATATGTTTTTATACGAAAAAATAAAAAAATTGACAAAACAAAATTTACATACTCTGTGCATAGGTTCCGGTTCTTCTGATAATTCGTCCAAATTTCCAGATATAGCACGTTTAAGAGCAGGAGAAACTTCATGCAGCGTTCTCAAGCCAGCTTGTAAAGTAATTGTATTACTTTCTAATTGGCCGTCTTTTCCTTCTTGTTCTTTACGTTTCTTAAATCTTCTAAAGTAGTCTTGAATTAAATATGTGGCATAGAATTTACCTACTGTTACTTCATCATCATTTCCAGGAGGTGGGACTACTTGATCTAAAAATTTTGGATTCGTTCGTTTCCATATTTGCTTAATTGTTGCACGTAAGTCTGCATTTGCATCATCTATATTACCGTCTGTTTTTATGCTTAGGGATGTACGTACAACAGCAAAAAGTGTGGCATTGAACAAAACTGTGCCGTCTGAATTTAGGGGCATATTCATAGACACCAAGCGTTTACAAGCCATACGATGTGGACACAATTTTCCAAATCCTAGTGGTGGAGAAATTTTGCGCAGAAGTGTTACTACATCCAAATGTTTAATGCGACCTTTCGCATCTGGGTCATATTCACTCCACAACCGTATAAATTCATCTAAGTGATGAGGTCCTAATATGGACCAGTCTCTCGTCAGGTAATCAAAATTATCCATAATGACTGCAACAAATAAATTAATTATCTGGAATAAAAAGAAATTTTGAAAAAATATATATAATACATATATAAATACACAAAAAATATATATAATACATATATAAATACACAAAAAATGTGGTAAACTACTATTAGTTAGTTAACTACGAGTATTAGTTAGTTATCAAACTAACCACTACATTACGAAAACAATACACATAAATTTGTGACTATGACAAATTTTCTTTTTTATTATTAATTTTTTCACGGGCTAATTGGTCAGTTATTAAAAAATGATCTTTTTTTTTTTTTTAAAATAAAATTTTTTGTTTAGTTTTATAAGATTTTTATTGTCCAATATTTCGACTATAATCTATAGTCATCATCGGGGAACTATACATATAAATACATTGTAATTAATATTAAGGTATACATTACATAGAAACAATAATAAATTACATTTACATTGAAACATGAAACATACATATGTATTTATTTTTGTTTTAATTTTTGAGTCGTTACTTCGAAAATGTTAAAATGCGGTTATTTTTGTTTTTTAAAATATACTAACTTTTATTTCGAAAGTTTTTTGTGTATCTCTACACGTGTTTCGGCAAATTCGCTTTTGCCTTCATCAGGAGAATTCCTAATATTAAAACATCTAGCAATCTTACAAACTATTTATACCATAAACATGTTATTTTTAATACTAAACTTAATATTAATAAATCCTAAGGTTATTGTCCTTGAGGGTGACAGGTAAGAAATGGTGGCGGGGTTGGTCTGGCGTTGTTTTTTTTTATTTTTACATACAGATAGTTAGGTTGACTGGTTGTCGGTTTTTTGGGATGTATCTAAAAAGGCACGATGACACGTTGCCTTTGTCGCCGTTGAGTAAATTTGTGGTATGATGTTTGTGTATTTCGATGCTTTCTGCCGTTTCTAATTTCCAGCTATCCCTTACATTTTTGATTATTTGGGCGTTATCCCTGTTGATGTGGTGATTTTCCTTTACTATATGTCTGGCGACATTTGATTTTATGTGGGGGTTCATTTTCTTCGGTGCTTCTCTTGCTTCCTTCAGGTGTTCTTCAAGTCTTACTGATAAGGATAAGGTGATATAAAAAAGATGATGAGGTAGCAGCTATTTTGCCATTAATAAATTCGAATGATCGTTAGTGGATTTGTACAGCAAATAGCGTGACAATCCCGGCGAGAACAGCAGTGTTTATTTCGTTGAAATTTGGAGTGATAACTGGAGAAATGGTGGTACATAAGAAGGAAATTCTACCAAATTTGTTTGTAGGAGAATCACTCACAAAAGTACGAAGGGGTGTAGGATATGTACGAGTCTTGAATGCAAATAACTATCAGATAGGATTTCTACGAGCCATTGAATTAGAATATAGCAGTTTGGGAGTTTATGATGTAATTGGGATACCAAATATTAATTTCACAGAACAGAAAATCATCAATGTTAAGTGTTCTTAAGGATTTTAGTGATGTTTTTGACTTGCCAGGGGATAAGCCCTTCCATTACTTCGGTACTAGAACATGAAATATTGACAGATTCCGAGCAGTCGCCAACAAATATAAGGCAGTATCGATTACCAGAAGCTCATAAGAAAGAAATAAATAATCAAGTTAAAGAGATGTTGAATAGCGGGATAAGAACACCAAGTAAATTACCATGGAACTCACCAATAATACTAGTACCAAAAAAGCCTGATGCGGAGGGAAATAAGAAATGGTGGCACGTAGTAGATTTCAGGAGGCTAAACCAAAGAACAATTGAACAAGTTTTTCCGACACCAAGAATAGAGGAAATTTTAGACCAGCTCGGACGCAGTAGATATTATTCAACCTTGGATCTAGTCAGCGGCTACCACCAAGTGATGGTAGATAAAAACTATAGGAATAAAACTATTTTTAGTACACGACTAGGACGTTTTAGATTTCAAAGAATGCCTTTCGGACTTACGGGTGCACCGGCAACCTTCCAACGAATAATGAATGTCATACTGACGGTGCTTTAAGGTATCGACTGTTTTGTATATTTGGACGATATTGTGAGCTACGGAAGTAATTTAACAGAATACGAAGAGAGACTGAGAAGGAAAATGTCAGTTTTTAAGGCGGGAAATAGTATATTTGGGTCACCTATGTTCAGATAGTGGTGTGATCCCGGATCCTGATAAGGTAAAATGTGTAAAAAATATGCCATCGCCGCGGAATGTAAGGGAATTGCAATCATTTTTGAGATTTATTAACTGTTACAGAAAACTTATTCCGCAAGCAGCAAAGATCTTCTTACCTCTAAATTAATTGCTTCGAAAAGACTCGAAATTCATATGGACAAAAAATTGTTAAGTGGCAATGGATCAATTAAAACAGTTAATGACTATACTTTTACAATACCCAGACTTTAGCAAACCGTTCATTCTGACAACAGATGCGAGCAATGAAACATTAGGAGCTGTTCTGTCTCAGGAAGAGCCAGGAAAGGATTTGCCTTTGTAATTCGCGAATCGTGCACTAAGTAGCACTGAAAAACGGTATTCGACAATTCAAAATGAGTTTTTAGCTATCGTTTGGGTGGTTAAAAATTTTCGCGCTTATCTCCTTGGCCGAAAATTCAAAACTTTTATCGACCACAAGCCATTAAAAGAAATGGCAAATTTAAAAAATCAGAATACACGTCTAGGTCGTTTTCGGCTCAAGCTTTTGGAATTTGATTTCGAAATTGTTTATAAGCCTAGAAAAACTAATAAAAATGCAGATGCACTGAGTAAGATACCGAGTAATAATATTGCAGTTATAACTCGGTATAAAAAGAGGGAAAAAGAAGAAGATTTGCTAGCTGCCGAAGTTAAACAGACAGATAATAGTTCGGAAATAGACAGAGGCTATCCTGCGAATGAAGATTATGCAGTTTATCCCACGAACAAGAAGGATATTCAAGGTATATTAAAAACATTTCACAATTCACAATTAGGGGGACATCAAGGTGCTGTAGAAACGTATTTACGTATCAGAAAGCAATAAAAGTGGTCAAGAATGCAACGTCAAATAAAAGTCTATGTGTGAACCTGCCAATATTGTCAGAGAAATAAAAGTTCTAAGATAAAGAGGATGCCTATGGTTTTACCGGATACGCCACAAAGACCATTTGACAAAGTCTTTATGGACATGTTATATATATAATTAATATATATGTTTATAACAATTTAAGTTACAGTGTATACTCAAAAATGTTTAGTTCGTAAGCTTTTGATAATGATAATAAAAGTTAGTCTGTAATACAACTCAAAAGCGTGCACTTCATTTGGTGAAGACACCACATAATTGGCGACCAGAAATAAAAAAAAATAGAAAAAGGTTTTTTTCTTTTGAACATTGGATTTGTGTAAATATACAAACTGTTTTTTTAAATTTTTTTTTTTTTTAAAAAAAAAAAAGAAAAAAAAAGAAGAAAAAAATATATTTCTTGAACATTGTATTTGTGTAAATATACAAATTGATATAAAATCAAATAATAATAAAAAAAAAAAAAACGTGATCGGGCACAAAAGTGTGTATATGTGTGTGGGCTGTTGAAGATTAATAATTGTACATTATAAATTAAAATTAATAATTGTAAATTATAAATTAAAATTAATAATTGTAAATTATAAATTAAAATATTAAAAAATGAGTACGGATAGCAAAAACGTGGAAGATGCAAAAAATGGTGTATATTATCCAATTCAACACGTGCCGGAATTTAATCCATGCAGCGAATTGTGGGATTTGTGGAAGGAAAAGTTAGAAATATACTTTTGTGAGATAAATTGCATCAGTGATAACACAAAAAAAGCTCTTCTCTTAAAATCTATTGGATCGGGGCCATATGCTGTTCTCCATAACATATGCAGTCCAAGTAAACCAGTTACAAAGACTTACAAAGAGCTTTGTAATATAATGGATAAACATTACACGTCTCCAACAATCATATTCAAAGAGAGAAAAACTTTCACACTGCAGTAAAAAGTGAAAATGAATCAATTTCCGAGTGGTTTGCTAGAACAAAACAATTAGCGTTGAATTGCAGGTTCGGTGAGCAACTTGAGTCTTTTGTCTTGGATCGTTTTATTGTTGGATTGTCGGGAAAAATTTTTGAGCGACTTTGTGAAGAAGACGAAAAGCTTCCGCTAGATGAAGCATTACGTAAAGCACTCATTATGGAAGTGAAGCAAAAAACAAGTAATGACTGCATTGCAATTAATATTGTAAAAAATAAAACAATGTATAAGAGCGGCGATAAATATGCCAGCAGTAACAAAAATTGCAAAAAAAATTCAGATTGTAAGCATTGTGGTTGGCGTAATCATGAGTCTAAAGATTGCAGATTTAAAAATTCTAAAAGCCATCACTGTGGTAAAATTGGACACCTAGCATCAGTGTGCAGACATGTGAAATTAATAAAAATAAAAAAATAGGTTTTGTATCTGAAGTAAAATCTAAAAAATTTGTTAATATAAATAATAATAATGATCCGAAATTTTCTATTTACAGTGTAACATCTGAAGTTTCAAGTGCTGATGAGTTTAAAATTCCAGTGACTGTCGATGGATTATGTGTGAAGTTGGCATGTGATACGGGAGCATCTTGCAGTTTACCACCTTTATCGTGGCTAAAAAAAATGTAAAAAACAAGTAAGTCTAACTCCATGTACAACGACTTATGTTGGTTATGGTGGTAATAAAATTAAAACTGTAGGCTTGCATAATTGTAAGATAAGTTATTGTGGAACTACAAAAAATATAACATTTGCAGTAACTAACTGTTCAACTCAACCGTTGCTTGGTAGAGATTTCTTAAGCTTGTTTAATTTTCGTTTGGAACAAATTTGTGCTGTAGGCCAAACAACAAGCCAATCTGTAATTATTGATGAAATTAAAAATCAATTTGCAGAAGTTTTTAATGGGCAATTAGGTTCATATAAATCTACACTTATTTCATTACCTATTTCTGAAAATGCTAAACCAGTATTTTGTAAACC